CCATCTCTTTTAATCAGCCCTAACACAGGATATAAATATTCAACTGTTGCTAAAGGATGGAAGGATAGGACTTGAATTCAATAATAAGAAAAAACATTTTGAATTTGGAAATTTGATGATGATCATCATTGTCATTATCATTCAGGTTTCCTAGCTTTCACTATCTGTCTGGTAAAATCTGTGCCAAGAAAATGCTATCCCCCCCACATCTGGATTATCTCTGGATTTAGTTGATTAACAGGATCCACAAATTTCAGTTCTGGCCCTGGGGGCCAGGGCCATCTGGGAGTTATGTGCTGCCTCCGGAGCCTCTGGAATCTGACATCAGCGAGGCAGAAGAACACTGTGAGCCTGTTCCCAGTGTGCGCATGCGCAGAGCTGCCAGTTCATATTGTCAATTCAAGCTCTGAGAAGTCCATTTGACTCTGTGCTCCATTTGGCCTTGCAAAACTAATTGACAATTAGGTCTCTGGCAGTGTTTCAAGGGAGATAAAGGTGGGTACTTTTCAACTGTGTCAACTCGAGCAGACATCTGTCAGAATCTTCACAGACTGTTTGTGAATCATTACCATAATCTCTCCCCCCTTTGCCTCCTACTTCCTCCTGCACTTCTTCCACAAATGGCTGTGCCCCCTCCCCCCATTTATGGCAGGATGCCAGCACCTTAGCGGAGCAGAGCAAAGATGGCAGAGCTAACACTAATACTTCCTGAAGAAGACACAAGCCCTTCAAATACATTTCAAGTCTACAGTTAATGGATTCCTCTCTGGAAATAAAGGGTTAAAGAACTAGCATCTTCTCAAGAGACCTTGTATTTTCTCCTCCCTCTTTCTAAACTAAGGTGAAGAGCAAAGATGGAGAGTGATAAGCTTCAAAATCACCAGGTGTGAGGCAAAGAGACAAACCGCAGCCATAGGTAGATTTTTGGTTTAGTAGCTCATGATATCCCACAAACCAAGCACATAGAAGGTACAGGGGCTACAGCCACATATTTCGTGATTGAAAATCTCCTAAAGGTAAGAACTTTTTGAGACTAGAGTAATAGTTTCATTGGATGCATTGAACAGAATGCAAAGTATTGTGGTCTGGATACAAAATTTTGAGAGATGTGTAATCAGTTTAAGAAAAATTAAGGGGCTGAGAAGCTCAGTATTATGACAGAAATATGCAAATAAATAAAAATCAGAAAGTATGTTATATCCTGTCAGTATTAATAATGCCTAAATTGTATGAAAATAATGAGTCAAGATATTCAAGTTGTCTAACTTTACATCTCATCCCCCTAAAACTAAAGTGAACTCCCACTGGAGTTCATTCTAAAAGATAGAATCTCATCAGAAACTGGATAATTGCCTGTGTGTCCTACACACAGAGATAACTATAAAGCTGAACAGGCAACTAATGGTAACCCGCTTCTGGAATAATTTATTGAATGTTTCAGTTCAGATCAGTTTACTTTATTGATTAGCCCTTGGGCCATATCAAAGTATATTTCATGTTAAATTGCCTATAATTTCTAATTACCTGTGAATACAGTGGGACTTTGCACAGTATTGCATCACTGTCAAGCTCTTATAAAGCCCATGAGGCTGTATCTGCCATATAAGTGTTATAATGCTTAAAAAATCCAAAACAATGTACATATAATATTTCAAGGACAGCTATAAAGACACCAGCCCACAACAATACATTTTCCTTCAGCTACACTGTATTATTTCTGTTGTTATATAGATGTAAAATTCAACTTCAATGTATAAAAGAACCACAAGGATTGCATTGTGCAGCTTTTGACAAAACGTCTGTTACCATAAGTCCAGACCTTTTGAAGAAATGTGTAAATGCTTAACAAAAATTTATCAAAAGAACTGGAGGGTAGCACTAACCTTTTTCACATCATCCCAAGTCCTGATGAATATGTTTGTTTATTTATTTGTCATATTTAAAACCGCCCTTCTCCTTACAAAGGGAATCTGGATGGTGTAGAATAAAAAATCAAAAGCATAAAAAAACAGTATATAAAATTTAAAAGAGGCAAGAGAAGAATTAATTAAAAGATGGGGAGGGGTTATTCAAAGCACCAACTAACCCCACAACTGTGTGCCCATCTGTGCATCCCATGCAAGGGCACAGAACCTTGTTTTTATGGTTTTACAGAAAGCTAGGAGAGTTACAGCCTTGATGGATATAACCTGCTTATACGGACAAGTATCTGGTTTTAAAATAAATGCAGCTAAAACAAAAATAATAGCTAAAAATATGGTTAGGAGCCAAAAAGAAGAGATAGAAAGGTTAACAGGATTTGAAGTAGTTAAGAAGGTTAAATATCTGGGGGTCTATATTATGACTGCAAATACGAAATTATATCAGTATAACTATGAACCATTATGGCACAAAATACAGAAAGAGTTGGACAACTGGAAAAAACTACAACTGTCTTTGCTGGGAAGGATAGCTGCTGTAAAAATGAATATTTTACCAAAATTTCTATTTCTTTTTCAAATGATACCAATACTTAAAAAAGATGAGAATTTGAAGGAATGGCAGAAGGGCATAAATAAGTTTGTGTGGGCAGGGAAGAAACCACGAGTCAAACAAAAGATATTGCAAGATACTAGAGAAAGAGGTGGTCTTAAGATGCCCAATTTAAGATTGTATTATGAAGCTGCTGCCCTCTCAGCAATCACAGATTGGATAAACTTAACGGAGGAAAAGATATTGAATATTGAAGGATATGGTTTGGTTTATGGCTGGCATGCTTACTTAGTGTATGATAAGAAAGTAGATAAGACTTTTAAAAGTCATATATTAAGAAATGCTCTATTGCGTGTCTGGAAAAAGTATAAATATAAACTAAATGATAGGTTACCAATATGGACAGTACCCAGACACGCGATAGAGAACATAAATTTAGAGCAAAAGCAAGATAAGATTACATATAAGGAACTCCTTTATAAGGAAGGAGTCAGACTACAGTTAAAATCCATGGAACAATTAAAAGAAGAAGGGATTATTAAGACTTGGTTTCAATATGGACAGCTGCTGGCCAGATGGAGAGAAGATCAAAAAATTGGTATTTTGCAGCAGGATGAGAATTTGATAAAGCAAATAAGAGATGAAGGTCAAATGCACATAAAAAGGTTGTACAATGCATTATTGGAAATAGATTCAGAAACAGACTTAGTCAAGGATTGTATGATAAAATGGGTACAAAATGTAGGTGAACCAATAATGATGGAAACATGGGAAAATATATGGGTTAGAAATGTAAGATTTACACAAGCACAAAATTTAAGGGAGAATTTTTACAAAATGTTTTATAGATGGCATTTAGACCCAAAAAAACTAGCTTGTATGTATCCAAATTTACAACCCAAGTGTTGGCGATGTGAGTGTGAAGATGCTACATATTTTCATATATGGTGGACATGTAAAAAGATTAAGGCTTTTTGGATAAAAATATGGTGGATTATTCAAAATATTTTGAAGAAAAAAATTAAATTTACACCACAGTTTTTTCTGTTGGGAATAGTTACGGATTGTACTGTAATAGAGACTAAGCTGGTTTTGAACTTAATAACAGCTGCCAGATTACTGGTGGCACAGTACTGGAAGAAGGAAGATCCACCTACTATTGAGGAATGGACATTAAAAGTTGTGCATCTGGCGGAAATGGCAAAAATTTCATCATACCTTAAAGACCATTCAAATGAGAGATATATATTGGAATGGAGAAAATGGATTGATTACATACAGAAGAAGTATCTGAATAAGAAGATTCATATAGCTTATGAATGAAATAATATTAAGTAGTTTATGTTTGTTTTTTTCTGAGTTACAAGGAGTTAAGGACCTAGGGAGAATATGAAATGTAATAATTTGTTAGCACATTTTAGTTCTTGGTTTGTGAATGCTATACCCTGTGCTCGTTCTGGGAAGTCTAGGGAGGGGGGGGGGGGGAGGGAGGGGAAGGGAGGGTGGGAAGGGGAGGGGGGTTGAGGGGGGAAGGGTGGGGAGGTGAAAATGTTTGTATTTTTCATAAAACTTTTCAATAAAAAAAAAAAAAAGAAAGCTAGGAGAGTGTGGACTCACCTCACCTCTGAGGAGAGCCTCACTTCTGGGGGGAGCGTGCACCATAGGGAAGGCGCAACAGCAGAAAAGACTCTCTTTCTGGACTCCACCAGTTGGAATTCTTTAACTGATAGGATCTGCAACATACCTTCCCTGCCTGACCGGCTGGGGTGAGATAATGTAACAGGATGAAGACGGTTCTGTAGTTAATCTGACCACATGCACATATAGGGCTTTAAAGGTCATAACCAACACCTTGGGCTTGGAAACAAACCAGCATCTAATGCAGATCACGCAGCAGAGATGTTATGTGCATCATTCTTTGGGCACCCAAAATTGCCTATGCAGCCACATACCAGCTGAAGCTTCCAGATATTTTTCAAGGGTAGCCTCATACAGAATGTATTGCAATCATTCAGACAGGGGATGGCCAGGGCACAAGTGACTGAGTGAAGAGCCTCCCTATACAGTAATGAGCATAACTGGTGTACAACATGAAATATTGGACCATAAAGTTAGTGTCTTGCCTCAGCATGAAATTATTCTGTTTAGCCTTCCTACCACCCTCTTCTATATAACGTTAATATAGTCCAAATCCAGGATGAGCTACAATCTTGTTTGTCAAAGGATGGTCTGCACTCTGCAATTCCCTGGCATTGATTTTCAGGTGGGTATTTCAGTGGGTTTAATGAAAACGTATCAAGTTCATCAATAGAGAATGGAGGCTATAAAATTTAGGAAATGGAATATTAGGTCAGAATCTGTGGAAGTAATTCAGCAGGAAACCAAGGATCCTAAGGTGAAGAAGAGCAAATCCAACAACTAGTTATGATAATGGGAATAATCTCCTAGAGGTAAGATTTAATCTGGTTCTTAACAAAAGGATCGCAGTACAGAGGATACCAGGTAGCTCTCCCCTCCAAAAAAGGCATCTTGGTGTCACAAATCATTTCCCATGGTTAAGTTGAGAAGGCAAGAGATTGACATTTTTTGCCCCCCTGATCTAAATACATGATACAAAAGCGCTAGTGGAGATCCCTTGCCTATCAGAAACCAGAGCTTGGCAGTTGCAAGAAAATAACAGCTGCTAGAGTGCTGCTAAGCAACAGCTTCAGCTTGTATCTAGCAGCAGCAAAGAAAACAAGGCCTGAGTTAACAACTGAAGGATATTGGCAAAATGGCCCAGAGTCATTGACTACAGTTTGATGGCAGTTTTTCTGGAACGTATTGTTTGTAATGACAACACAACATTGAGGACCTGAAGAGGGAAGAGGACTACTTCCCATTCTCTCACTTCTAAGAAATAGATTTTTAGTGAATCTGATGTGGACTGCCAGAGTAAGTGGGATCAGAGCTGTGCTGCTAATTTCTGAACAATAGGCTCAGTAGTGACAGACAGTAGGGTGGAGGAAAGGTTAAAAATGTCCTTACTTGGTAGCCAAGAAAAATTATAACAGTTTGTTTCTCTAGCTTTCTCTCTGGAGCCATTTATCCTGACACGTTAGTTGGGAGAGGGAAGAGGAATTAATGTTACAAGGTGCATTCCAACACTCTTCCACCCCACATCCCTTATATGGGTTGAAGCCATTCCAGCACCGAGTCTATCACAATTTGCTACCACCATCTGGCCACCCACCACCACCTTGCTGCAGGGCATCTCACACCGGCCAACTTGCCACAGAGACAGCTCATTGTGAGCCTGGGCCTTCCACTCTGGTTTCGAAAGCCAGGCCAGCTTAAAGGAAGTGAAAGTTCCCACCAGCCCACTTTCTCTGAAGGTTTCCTTGCCTCGCTTTCCAACAGCCCCCTGTGAAAGGCAGGCTAAGTGGGAATCATTGTTCCATGCATACACACATGCACACATGCATGCATGTGTGCACACACACATACACAGAGACCATTCCAAGCTTGAGGTGCGTGGGAAGAAGGACCTCTCATTTGGTGTGCTGCACTGAACCCTGACAGCACCCGGGTGGGGAGAGAGGCAAGAGGGATGATGATAGGGCAACTCATTCCCAACGGCTGTCACCACAAAGGCTCTTCCTCCTGAAGGGTTCAGCCTGGAACAATGATTCCTGTATAGCCTTCCTGGACTCCTTCTCTGAAGGCATCCTCGCTTCACTTTCCAGTGCCCCCCCCACCATGAAAGGCAAACTAAGTGGGAGTTATTGTTCTGTGCTGGTCACCCTGTCACCATCCCTGCTTGTTCCCTTTCCTGCCTGAAAGCTGTCATAGTCCAGGACAGCACACTGAAGGAGAGGTCCTTCTTCCCAAGCCCAGTCATGATTGGCAGCTTGCCAGCTTGGATGCAGATAAAAATCCCTAAGCTTGGTATGGTCTGTGTGTCTAGGTGTGTGCAGAACAATAACTCCCAGTTAGCTTGCCTTTCATGGAAAATGAGGCAAGGAAGCCTTCAGAGAAAGAGTGTAGGCTGGCAGGAACTTTCGCCTCCCTTAAGCCAGGCCTGCTTTGGAAACCAGAATGGAAAGCCCAGGCTCGTGGTGAGTTTTCCCTGCAGCAAGTTGGCCAAGGCAAGGTGTCCCATGGCCAGGTGGCAGCATCCAAGTTGCCGTGGCAAATTGTCCAGTACCTGCTTTCATTTCTTTGCTCCTGTAAATGCAATTAAGCAACTGCAAGTGGAGTCTTCCTTGATATTCTTCTTCACATTATCTCATCATTTGACATGATCACAAGGCTAAATGTTACCATGCTTTTTTTTTTTTTTACTGGGGGCTCTGATAATCTTTCAAAATAAATAAGGTCCTCTCCTGAGCCAGTTCCTGAGAAAACAAATTGAAGCTGATACAAGTTTCTGTTTATGTGAAAGGCTTCTGAAGTGCTTAATTTGGGTCCTGGTGATACCTGGGTCATTCTGCTGAGCTATTGAAGGTGCAGGTAGTTGGGTTTACACATTAAGTTAAACCATAATGTGGTTGTTTGATTCTGGCTTAGTATATAGTGCAATCCCAAAATATAAAGAGAAACGTGTACATCTGATTCCCTGTAAAGATGAAAGCTGTAGTTTTACTGGTTGCTTTGGCAATTATTATGCTTTAGTTTTGAATAGGTAAAACACAATGCAGTGGGTTCAAAAACACTTGACTAATGTCAAATTTAGCTCTGTATGGGGCTGTGCTCCTACTGAAAGAGTTGGTGTGCAATCTGGGGGTGTTCCTGGACTCTTAGTTCCTGCAGAAATAGTAGATAGAAGCTATGGACAAGAGAGATTTTGTCCAATTGTAGCTAATGCCCCACACATGGCTCATGTTGGAGCAACAGACCCTGGCTAATCATCATGTCACCTTGCAGACTACTATAATGTACATGGGAGTGACCTTGATGACCACCCAGAGGTGTGTTTTTTGAGGACACAAATATTTGTGTATTTTTGCGTGCAGATGATGCCATATTATTGGCTAAGAACATGAATCAATTGCAAGAAATAGTAGAATGTATATGCAATTATTACCATGGGTTTTTTAAATTAATAAATTAATTTATCAAAGAAAGGTAAATTGAACTATGAAAAATTATACATAAATGACAAACTAGAGCAAGTAGATGAATTTGTATACCTTAGTATATTTATTGACTAAATATGGAAAATGTATGAAAGTGGCATGTTGAGGTGATTTAGTTACATAGAGAGAATGTTGAGTTGAAGAACAAATATATGAAAAAAAATGAATGGGTAAAAAAGAAAGAAAAAACATAAGAGAATCATGATTGGAAGAAGTAGATAAAATCCTGAAAAAGGGTGAGAATTTTAAAGAACAAAGGACAATGTATCAATTTGTATATCTATATACTAGTGAAACATGGACACTAACCTCACAATTGATACAAAAGCAATGAGTGGCACAAAGAGCCATGGAAAGATACATGATTGGCATTATAGGACAAGATAGAAAGACCTGCACATGGATTAGAGAACAAATGAAACTGTACAATGTCATCAAGAGAGTAAAAGAATTGAAATGGACTGGTCACATAGCAAGAAAAACTGATGTCAGGTGGGCCAAGGCAGTCATAGAATGGATCCCACTTGATAAAAGGAATCCACAAAAGAGACCTAAAACAAGATGGATCAATAACATCAGCAAGTATTGAGGGCCCCATTGGCAAAACAAAGCTCAGGACCATATTGGTTGGAAACATGCGGAAGAGGCCTTTATCCTGCAGTGGATAGACAATGGCGATGATGATGATATCTATATGCAAGAAATAAGGATAGAAAAGTTTGTTATATTGAACAGTGTTGAACTTATATTGAACTAGAATTAGTTGTATTTCCTTTCCTTTTTTCCAGCTCACACCTTTAATTACTTTAACATTGTTTCTGATTCCCTTTCTGTATTTTGTATAATGTTGATGCCCCAAAATAGAACAACATGGTGGACAAGTACATTTAAGTTTGCATTCTTAATTCTGGAAGTATCTGAGTATGAGGCATTGCAATGACATGGTTATGTTGTTGAAGTTGGAATTTTTCAGCTATTTAAATTTTGTACATTTATTTGGCAGCAAATGATAGGTAACAGAAAATTGATGTTCTAAAATCTACAATCTAAGACTGTACTATTAATGACTTCATAAATTTGTCATTCATTTTAATATCTTTGTTTTATGGCCAAAAATATGGCCAAACCCTACCCTATCACTGTGCTTTCTATGGTTTTCTCACCAAAATGATAATTATCATTCTCTTGACTGCAGGTACAAAATGAATATCTGTTTCTCCTTCCTGAAGATGATGATGTTTGTATTTAATGGAGTGATCTTTGTAAGTATGTGCTAGGGTGGATGAAAACTGGTTGTGGCAGAGAGTTAAATAAATAGTTAAATAAATAGTTCAGGTGGTTGAACAGATGCACAAAGTATACTTTTGCAAAATATCTGTGATGTGCAGATGTGAGAGGTTTAAGAGCAATATGAATCTCGTGTGTGGAAATACTCAGCATGGGAAAGCAATCTTAATATGTTCCGTTATTCATACAACAGAACAAATATGAAAAGAAAAAATTGTTCCCCACTGTAGTTCTCTTATAATGTAATGGCATAAATTGGGAATGACCCCAATTTCCTCCATCCTCCAATCCTTAACAAATCCTGTCCAACAATGTCTGATAGAAATAATTGCATGGGATAATTTGAAGGATTAAGTACCATCCTTCTCTGCAAGTTTGTTTATTCTAGTATGTGGATTTGCTCACCAACAAATAGTTCCATTCTCAGTATAAGTAGTCATCACTTAATGACCCTAACTGGGACTGGCAATCCTGTTGCTGAGTGAAATGTCACATTACTGTTCCACTCAGCAACAGCAGTTTTGGCTGTTTTTGAGTGAATACCACATGGTCGTTAGGCGAGAACCCAAGCCGCTGTTGGAAAAAGGTAAGGGGATACCTCCACTTCAACTTCCCCGGTTCATCTGTTTCCCACATTTCTGCTGTTTTGGCCTCCTTTGTACCCATTGCTGCTAGCTGCTGCTGCTGCCACCCAGCCCTGCCTGCTGCCCCCATACTAGATACTCACCGCATTATATACCAGTATGGTACCAGCTAGGGTCTTCTTTCATGCCACCTTCTTTCATGCTAGTGTAGCCAGGGTCTACCTTGTGCACCAGCCTGGGCTTCCATTTGCACTTGGCTAGTTCACAAACAGAAGCCCTGATCAATATCATAGAAAAAAAACCACAAACCTAGTACAGAACCTCTATCCAACCCAACCCACTCTGATGCAGCCTCACTGGTGCCGAGCAATCAATTTCATAGACTTTCTCTGGAAGAAAACATGCAGACACTTAGAAAAGAAACATCATCAAATGTCCCTTAAAAAGTAGCATCATCAAGTGCTTCTGTGATAGGTAGAAAAATACCCCAAACCTCCCTAGGAAAAAAAAAGGTGATTGTTGGTGATAGGAGATTCAATTCAGAATCTCAGAACCTGCCATCTGTAGACCAGACAGTCAATCCAGAGAGGTATGTTGTCTCCCTGGAGCAAAAATCAAAGATGTGGCTGAGAAGCTAACCAAAATAATTAAAACCACAGCTTACTACCCTTTCCTACTGCTACACATAGGACCTGAAAATGTCCTGAAAATGTACCTGAAAACAATATTGAGTGATTACGAGTAGCTAGGCAAGAAAGTTGAGGAGTTAGGTGCACAAGCAGTTTTTTTATCTGTATTGCTAATGAAAGGTCAACTTCCAGTAAGAGAACAAAGAATTCTAAGCTAAACCCACTGGCTAAAGGGTTGGTGTCACCAAAAGAACTTTGGATTCCTGGACCATGGTCTGCACTACCTCCATGATGGGCTTTTGGCAAGGGATGGGCACCTCACAAAGACTGGGAAGAATGTTTTCAGGAAATGACTGGTTCAACTTATCAGGAGGGTTTTAAACTAAAATTGAGGGGGGAAGGAGACCAATCTGTAGGATCTCCAGGACCTAATTCCAAGCAAAAAGCCCTAGAAAACAAATCAATGAGGTAAGGAGGGATGGGAAGGAAGAAAATTTAAACACCAAATAGGAGACATAGGACGCATACAAACAGTCAGACATAAAGATCTAAAATGCCTATATACAAATGCTCAAAGTTTGGGAACAAGCAGGGTGAACTTGAATTATTAATACACAAAGGTAGATATGATATAATTAGAATTACTGAAACTTGACTGGAACATACTGATAAAAGGATACAAACTCTTCAAAAAAACCAGACCCCATAAAAGGAGATGGAATTGCACTATATGTAAAAGATCACTATATTGCCACAGAAATGCATGAAACCAAAGACAAAAACCTCCATAGAATGCATATGGATCAATATAAAAGAAAAATAATAATAACATTGGCATATGTGTATATTACAGGCTATCCAACCAAGCAGAAAAAATAGATGTACTTTTTGCTAACCAATTAACAAATATATGTAGGAAACACACTACAATACCAATGGGGGACTTCAATTACCCTGACATCAACTGGAAGACTAATTCTGCACCAAGTGAGAAATCGAATAGGTTCCCGACCAACCTAGCTGACAACTTTGTTGCCCAAAAGATAGAGGAGGGAACTAAGGGACAGCCAAACTGGACTTAATTCTCACGAACAGAGAAGAAGTGATGGAGTTGAACTTTGGGTGAGAGTGATCATGTCCTACTGGAATTCAATATAATGCAAACACAAGCAATAGAATATAATGATACCAGAGTCTTAGATTTTAAAAGAGCTGATTTTAACAAACTCAGAGAGAGCTTGGGAAAGATTCCTTGCGTGAAAATCCTAAAGGGGAAAACAAATTCAAGAAGCTTGGAAAACTCTGAAAAATACAATCATAAAAGCCCAATCCAGTACAATACCACTGAAAAAGGAAAACAAGAAATCCAAGAAGAAACCAGCATGGCCGCACAAAGATCTCTCTGACAAATTGAAACACAAACAGGACAAGTATAAAAATGGAAAGAGGGACACATACCAGTAATTAAGGCAGAATATCAGCAGATAGCCAGAATCTGCAAAGACAAAGTCAGGAAAGCAAAGACTCAGAATGAACAAAGACTTGCAAAAAAAAAGTCAAAGATAAAAAATAAAGTTTCTTCCAACATATAAATAACAAGAAAAAAATCAAGGAAACAGTCAGTCCACTAAAGAGAGAAGATGGCAAGGAAGTAACAGGCAGCAGAGAGAAAGCAGAGCTGCTTAACTCATTGTTTGTTTTTTTTAAAAAAATAATCTTTATTCACATTTTCCATTAAAAACAAAAGAAAAACAACACATCATATAAATAACAAACAAAACAACACAACAGCAACAAACAACCAAACAACAAAATAGACAAAAAAAAAAAAAGAGCAAGCGTATCTCTAAACAGTACCTTAATAACCTAGTATTCGGTACCGTATATCTATATTATAATACGGAGAAGACAGAACATCTTACATACCTTTATAAAACAATTAGGTCTATCTGACCTCACTTTACTTGTATAATATAATTTTTTCAATAGATATAATTTCTCATCTAATTTGGGTTATATTTTCCTCTTCTCTAGCCACCCATAAATTTTTTCCCAATATAAACCTATTTGTGTTTGATCTCTGTCTTTTAATTTCTTAATCAATTTATCTGCTTCAGCACAGTCCAAAATCTTCTTTATAATAGCTTCCTCTGATGGGATATTTTGATTTTTCCAAAGTTGAGCGTACCCCAATCTCGCCGCTGTGATGATGTGCAATGCAAGATACCATAAGTCTCTTTTCATATTTTCTGGCTTGGAGCCGAGCAGGCATGTCTCTGGATGCCATTCGATCTTTTGATTTAAAATCTCATTCAGCCATTTTTTTATTTCCCCCCAGAATTCTACTGCTTTTGGGCACGTCCACCACTGATGGTAATAAGTGCCACGCTCAAACCCACATTTCCAGAATTCCGCAGATTGTCCAGTAAACATTTTAGCTAGTCTATCCGGGGGAAGATGCCACCTGTATATCATCTTGTAGATGTTTTCTTTGTATGCCGTGGAGACTACTAATTTCATATTCTCCCACCAAATCTCTTGTCATTTCTCTAAAATTTGAATATCCAAAATTTTTTCCCCCAGGCAATCATTGTATCCTTAATTATTTCTTCACCTATCTCTATTTTCATCAACAATTTATAAGTTTTCGAAATCATGCCTTTTTCTTGGCCTATCAAAATTTTGTCTAATTCTTGTAACTCACCATTAATACCTTTCTCTCTATCTTTTTTGTATTTAGATTGAATCTGTGTATAGGTCCACCAGTCCACTTGTACCCCTTGGGAGTTCAATTCCTGTTTAGATTTTAATTTTCCTTGTACATTCAGCAAATCTTTATATGTTAATTTTCCCATGAAGTTATAGAGTTTGGGGTATATCAGTGCTTCTAAGGGTGATATCCAGCACGGTGTTTTAATATAATATTTTTTACTAACTTTTTCCCAATTCCGAATTAAAATATTTCTTATGTAATGTCGGGTGAACCATTTGCTTTGTGGGGTATTATCTCGCCAAAGTGCCATATGCCAACCCTGATGTACCGTATTTTCCGGCGTATAAGACGACTGGGCATATAAGACGACCCCTGAATTTTCCTGTTAAAATATAGGGTTTGGGCTATACTCGCCGTATAAGACTACCCCTCTTCCAATGCACACCAAATAAAAATTAAAAAACATCAACTGGCTCACCCACAATGTAAAAGCAGCTGTGCTAGACCCAAAATGGCCCCTGCAACAAGCAGGAACCTCACACAGCCACAAAAAGCCCAAAAAAACAACTTTCACACTTTACACACACACAACACAACACAACACAACTGGCTCACCCACAATGTAAAAGCAGCTGTGCTAGACCCAAAATGGCCCCTGAAACAAGCAGGAACCTCACACAGCCTTGGTAGTACAGTGGTCTAAAGCACCTTGTTATTAAGACCAGCTGCCTGCAATTACTGCAGGTTCGAATCTCGCCAGGCTCAAGGTTGACTCAGCCTTCCATCCTTTCTAAGGTAGGTAAATTGAGGACCCAGTTGTGGGGGCAATAAGCTGATTTTGTATAAATATACAAAAGGATGAAGGCTATTGCTTAGCACATTGTAAGCCGCCCTGAGTCTCCGGAGAAGGGCGGCATATAAATCAAAATTAGAAAAAAAAAAACAGCCCCCAAAAGCCCCAAAAAAACAACTTTCACACTTACACACACAAAATTCCACATACAGCTTTGTGAGATTTTGTGTGTTTGTGTAGTTAGAGTGAAACACTACAAAAACATACTAAATCTCAGAAAGCTGAGATTTGGTAGTACAGTGGTCTAAAGCACCCTGTTATTAAGACCAGCTGCCTGCAATTACTGTCAATTACTGAATCTCGCCAAGGCTCAAGGTTGACTCAGCCTTCCATCCTTTCTAAGGTAGGTAAATTGAGGACCCAGTTGTGGGGGCAATAAGCTGACTTTGTATAAATATACAAAAGAATGAAGGCTATTGCTTAGCGCATTGTAAGCTGCCCTGAGTCTCCGGAGAAGGGCGGCATATAAACAAATTATATATATATATAAGCGAAGCAAGGCAAGCAAAGCAAGGCAAGCAGCTAAGGTAAGCAAGCTGGAGGGGGAAAACTTTTTCCCTTCTCCATGGCTCTGGTGATCCCAACTGAGTTGCCTGATTAGCAGATCATCAGGGCTTTTTTTTTTTTTTTTAATTTGATTTATATGCCGCCCTTCTCCGAAGACTCAGGGCGGCTTACAATGTGCTCAGCAATAGCCTTCATCCTTTTGTATATTTATACAAAGTCAGCTTATTGCCCCCACAACTGGGTCCTCAATGGCTTGGATCGTCAGAGCCATTTAAGGCTCGTCAGAGCCTTTTGGGCTGGTCTGCCTGGTTACAGGAGAACGACATCCGGCGTATAAGACGACCCCCGACTTTTGAGAAGATTTTCATGTGTTAAAAAGTCATCTTATACGCCGGAAAATACGGTAGGTCGAAACCTTCTATTTTAAGGAGACGGCTATTACCTAAAGTAATCCATTCTTTTACCCAGGTTAACAGAGCGGCTACATAGTAATTCTCCCAACATGGTAAGCCCAGGCCTCCTCTTTCTTTTATCTCTTGCATCATCTTTTTTTTAATCCGTGGCTTTTTCCCCTGCCAGATAAATTTAGTTATTATTTGGTTTAAGTCCATGAAAAAATTTTTAGATAGATTCACTGGGGCAGTTTGAAACAGAAAGTTAAATTTCGGTAGCACATAGGATTTTACTGTTATTACTCGTCCTAGAAGTGAGATTTGTATTTTACCCCATTTGTCTAAGTCTTTTCTTATTTGAATTTGTAGTTTATTGTAGTTATCTTCTTGTATGCTCGAGCATCTACTAGTTAGCCGAATTCCAACATAAAAAGAACAAGAAAAAAATCAAGGAAATAGTCAGTCCACTAAAGAGAGAAGATGGAAAGGAAGTAACAGGCAGCAGAGAGAAAGCAGAGCTTTCTCTCTGAGAAAAGAGAACACTTGTCTGATCTTGATGAATACAAATCACCCAGACCTGATGGATTACATCCCAGAGTTCTAAAGGACCTGGCAGATGTCATCTCAGAACCACTGTACCATATCTTTCAAAAATCTTGGAGCACCGGGGAACTACCAGAGGACTGGAAAAGAGCTGATGTGGTTCCCATCTTAAAAGGGGGGGGGATGGGGGGGGAAACAGACCCAAGAAACTATAGACCAATCAGCCTAACAGCAATACCTGGGAAGATACTGGAAAAGATAATAAAAAAACAGATCTGCCAACATCTAGAAATGAGTAAAGTAATAACTAGAAGTTAGCATGAGTTTTTTAAAAAGAGATTATGCCAAACCAATCTTATTTCGTCCTTTGACAAAGTAAATAAATTAGTAGATCAGCAAAGTACTGTGGACATAGTATGCTTAGACTTCAGCAAGGCATTCAACAAAGTAGAATACAACCTACTTTTGGTAAACTAGAAAAAAGTGTGAAAGATAGCATCACCATCAGATGGATTTATAACTGGCTGACAAACCATACTCAACGAATAGTCCTTAATGGTACTACGTCTAAATGGAGGGTAGTAATCAGTGGGGGACCATAAGGTTCCATCTTAGGCACAATACTCTTCAATATCTTCATAAATGACTTAGATGAGGGAATAGAAGGGGAACTCATCAAATTTGCAGACGATACTAAGCTGGCAGGAATAGCCAACACCCTAGAGGATAGGCTCAAGATCCAGATGGATCTTGACAGACTTGAACACTGGGCCCAATCTAACAAAATGAAATTCAATGTAGAGAAAAGTAATGTCTTACACTTAGGCAAGAAAAACCAAAAGTACACATATAGGTTGGGTGAAACCAGGCTTAATAGCAGTAAATGTGAGTAAATGTGAGAAGGATCTTAGTGGACTTATCCACTAAGTCTTAGTGAACAATCAATTAAATATGAGTCAACAGTGTGCGGCAGCAGCCAAAAAAGCCAATGCAATCCTAAATTGCATTAACAGAGGGATTCAATCAAGATCATGTGAGGTACTAATACCATTCTATAAAGCCTTAGTAAGACCACACCTAGAGTACTGCAGTTTTGGTCACCACGCTATAAAAAAGATGTTGAGACTCTAGAACAGTGATGGCTAACCTTTTTTCCTTGGGTGCCGAAAGTGTGTGCGTGCGATAGCGCACACACGCATGCCCACACCCATAATGCAATGTCCCGTTATGGGCCTAGCAGGCCTCTCTGAGGCCTTCGGAGGCCGGAAATGGCCCGTTTCCAGCCTTCCAATACTTCCAGTAGGCCTGTTTTATGCTCTCTCCAGGCTCCAGATGTTTTCCTGGAACCTTTGGGAGGGTGAAAACGGCCTCCCCCGGCCCTCCGGAGGCCCTCTGGAGGCCAGAAATGGCCTGTTTCTGGACTTCTGGGAGTCCCGTTTTTCACCCTCCCAAAGCCTCCACGTAAGCCCTGTAGTTACCTGGCATCCAAAATGGGCCACATGGAGACTCCTAGGAGGGGAAGGGAGGCATGGGTGGGGCCAGCCAAAAATCATCTGGCTGGCGGGAGATGCGCGCAGATGCACAGTGGAGTTGCCTTAGGGCAATGGCTCGCATGCCCGCAGAGATGACTCTGTGAGCCACCTGTGGCACGTGTGCCATAGGTTCACCATCTAGAAAGAGTGCAGAGAAATGCAACAAAGATGATTAGGGGATTGGAATCTAAAACGTATGAAGAATTATTACAGGAACTGGCATGGCTAGTCTAGTGAAGAAAAGGACCAGGGGAGACATGATAACAGTGTTCCAATATTTGAGTGGCTGTTACAGAGAGGAAGGGGTCAAGCTATTTTCCAAAGCATCTGAAGGCCAGCAAGGAATAATGGATGGAAACTGATCAAGAAGAAATTCAACCTAGAAATAAGGAGAAATTTTCTGACAGTGGGACAATGGGACACTTGCAGGGGTGAAATGCTCCCGGTTCAGAGAACTGGTAGCAAAAATCCCTGCCCACCCCCACCCCCCCATGTCCAGTTGAGCCGCACAATCATCAGGGGCTTTTTTTTTACTTTTAAAAGCATTTTTTTACACCCTTTTCGGCCAAAAAATGCTTTTAAAAGTAAAAAAAAAAAAGCCTCTGATGATCGTGCAGCTCAGCTGGGATCGTCAAAGGCTGTTAAAAGAAAAAAAACCCTTTTTTTCTTTTAAATTCCTCTGATGATCCCAGCTGAGTTGCCTGATCGGCAGAGGCTTTTTAAAAGAAAAAAAGGTTTTTTTTTCTTTTAAATGCCTCTGATGATCCAAGCTGAGTTGTCTGGTCGTCAGAGGCATTTAAAAGAAAAAAAAGCCTCTGCCGATCAGGCAACTCAGCTGGGATCGTCAGAGCCTTTTGAAAGCATTTTTTTTTACAACCTCTTCGCCGAAGAGATTGTAGAAAAAATGGTTTTAAAAGTAAAAAAAAAAATTGGCCATGCCCACCCAGTCACATTAACCCCTACCACCACCAAGCCACGCCCACAGAACCGGTAGTAACAAATTTTAGATTTCACCACTGGACACTTGCCTTCAGAAGTTGTGGGTGCTTCATCACTGAAGAATTTCAAGAAAAAATTGTACTACCATATGTCAGAAATGGTGTAAGATCTCCTGCTTGGGTGGGGGTTGGACTAGATAAAAGGTCCCTTCCAAGTCTGGTATTCTGTTAGCTCAAAATATCTGAATGCAGCTCTGGAGTGGGGAGCAAATGGAGGACTGTGGCCAGCAGAAGAGATCCTGGGTGGGACATGAACAGAGGCCATGAGCTGGTATAGTAGCAGTATACAGTACATGAAGTGGGTATGACAGTAATGAACAAGGCAGCAGGAACAGCTGGCAGCATTAGATAGGCAGACAGCCAAAGGCCAGTGAAAAATGCTTCAAGTCCTCACTGAATGAATGACTGTTAAGAGAGGACCATCTGTAGTGTTGACACTAAATAGATAGTATCAGGCTCCAGAAACCAAGAAAGACATGTGCTGATTCTACCAAGCAGATTTTTATAGGTTTTATATACATATTTTTTTACACCTAGTCCTCACTTAACAACTGGTTTTTTTATGTTCATTTAAAGTTACAGTGGCTATAGAATGAGTGCTTTACAGTCTGTAGGCACCTCCAGCTGTCATAAATGGTCACACTGCCTCCCATAGTCGCTGACTACACATCAGAGGAGTCAACTTTACAACTGTTTGCAGCCTACCATGGTCACCTGACCACAATTTGCAATGTTTTTTTTGTCAGTTTCCAGCAGTTTATGCTGATTTCTGATAAAAAAAACACTCATTCAAATTAATGGGTTGGGTTAACAACTGTAGCCTTTACTTAATAACTTCAATATTTGTTTAATGACTGTTGCAAAAGAGGCTGGAAATTTACTTCCGGCCCTGTGAGTACCATAACTTACAATTGCAACAATTTATGACTGTAATTCTGAGCTCAATTATAGTTGTAAGTCAAGGACTATCTATATAGATTGTACATTGTCTTAAGTCTCCATTGTGGTAAAAGGGAGATTTATGAATGTTTCTAATCAGTCTATTGATACTGGTTCAGTTTGTTAGGAATGAAATGTTGAAGCTAGCAAACAGTCGTTTTTGCTCAAAAGTTTTTATTGCAGAATTAGAACTTTCTAATGCAGAAGTGATACCTTCTGGTTTCTCTCCATTTTCCTCCCAGCTAGGGGGCCTGGCTTTGCTGGGCATTGGTATCTGGGTGAAGGTAGATGGTGATTCCTTTGAGAAGATCCTTGGAGTTGCTGCACCACAAATGATGCTTCTGCTCCATGTGGGTTACCTGTGCATAACAGTTGGCAGCATCCTTTTCATCATGGGCTTTTTGGGATGCTGGGGAGCTGTGAAAGAAAGCAGATGTCTCCTGCTGGTAGTAAGTGATTTGCAAAAAGATATTGCCATGGACCAAATGTGGGTGTTGTGAAGTTGCTAAACTGTAAAGTTTACACATGGCTACTCTCATCTTGACTTAACCTATGCTCCTAGACCTTTTCTGCCTTCCAGTTCTTCTGAATCTTGATATGCTGGTAGAGTCCCAAAATAAATGTCCCAACTAGCATTTATCATGAAAGGATCACCAGGCTTTTTTTTCCAATAATTTTTTATTCCTATTTATTTTATGGGGCTGGATTGAAGTCAGTTCTCGATAATGGTATTACTCAAAAATTCCAGTTAGGTGGGCAGGAATATTATTTTCTGTTACTTAAAATTATCTTAAAATATTAATAGATGGTACAAAGAATTATTCTACTTAGATTCTTTATCAGCAAAAGACTGATGAAAGGTTAAAGGAGTTGTAGGTAGGTCCCGAGGACATATCGATATGTGTTTTGAAGCACATAAGTGCTTTCAAATTCAAAATGCTGCACAGCCCTAGTACTGGTTGCTATTTGACATTTGAAATAACCTGACAAGTCTTTAAGGCAGATCAGGTCAGAAAACAAGTATCACAAACCATAGAGTACTTTATTGAAATAGGCTTTAATAATGGAATCTTGAAAGCCTAATATAGTTTCTACTTCTTATACCCAAGAGAGTCAAGGCAGGCTAATCTTGATTTTCTTCATCATGACATCAAACATCATTATAAAGCACCTGAGAAGTGCCTTAAAATCTATCTCTCTACTGTGTTTCCCTGAAAATAAGACCCTGTCTTATATTTTTTTGAACCCTGAAATAAGCGCTTGGCCTTATTTTCAGGGAGGTCTTATTATTTTGGGAAGCATGGAGCAAGACGGGGCTCCTCTTGCTGTCCTACCTGATTTCCAGCTCTGTTTCCCTAACCCTAACCAGAGGAAATGGCGGGGACCGGCTGCACACACGTTTAAATTTTTTTGGGGGGGGGCTTATTTTAGCTCATGCGCTCAAAAGCCCGATTGGGCTTATTATCAGGGGATGTCTTATTTTCAGGGAAACAGGGTATGAAGCCTACCTAGTTTAGAAACAGTTTAGTTAAATGATCTGGCTGCTTCATTCTGTCAAATAGGCTGTTCCTTATATGTGGTGTGGGGGGCAGTCTCAGGTCACTTCACTTTTGGCAGGATGTTGCCTTCTATCCATCTCCCTTATAATCCACATGGACATCATTTATAGTCAGTATAAGTACAATATGCCTAAAATTGGGTTGCTATTTATTTATTTATTTATTTATTTATTTATTTATTTATTTATTTATTTATTTAGCAATAAGGCCAAGTGCTTATTTCAGGGTTCAAAATAATATAAGACAGGGTCTCCACTCCACTCTGGAGCTGCGGTGCCACAGTGGTTTGAGTGCAGTACTGCAGGTAGTTCGAATTCCACCAGGCTCAAGATTGACTTGGCTTTCCATCCTTCCGAAGTGGGTAAAATGAGGACCCAGATTGTTGGGGGCAATATGCTGACTCTGTAAACTGCTTAGAGAGGGCTGTAAAGCACTGTGAAGCGGTATATAAGTCTAAGTGCTATTGCTAACAAACTCAACAAAAGAAAGAATAGCACACCTTATCTACTCACTGCAGTATGTTTCTCTTTCTGACAACTAAAACCAATTATATGGTGCAATATTGAATCTCTGTATGTAAAAACATTGGGAAGTCACTTTATTTAGATTTTGCCTAAACCCTGAGCCTTAACTGGCATTTCTGGCTCTGGCTTTGCTGGTAGTGAACAGCACATTTCTCTGTTTCTAGTTTTTTGCAGTTATACTAGTAATCTTCACAGCAGAAGTGGTGTGTGCTGTTGTGGTGCTGATTTTCTCCACTGTGGTAAGTCATGGCTACCCCTCCCCCAACCACATTTTTCCACATGCTATTCAATACCCATCCTAGTAGGATATCTGGAAGTATAGTCCAATAGGTCTAAAGAATGCCAAATTTAGGCAAGCTGATTTAGCATGTTGATGACACAGTTCATCCAACTATAGTGAAAGATTTTGAACAGTTGATAAGGCAGATGACACTTTAAACAGTATTATATGGAAGTGAAGTGACAAATTGTAGTATTATCATTTACCATTAATATGCCTCTTGACTCCAGGCAAATATATTTGTTGAACACTTGAAAATCTGGGCCATGAAGACTTTAAAAGAAGACTATGGGAGGCAAGAAGACCTCACAGCCATTTGGGACACTACAATGAAACAGGTAATTCAACCGACAAAGACCAGTTTTATAAAATCATAGAATCATGGGGCTGGAAGGGGTCTTGGAGGTTTTCTAGTCCAATCCCCTGCCCAAGGCAGGAGTCCTTATACCATCCAGGACAAATTAATGTTCAATCTTTTCTTGAAAACCTCCAGCAATGGAGTACTCACAGCTCTGGGAGGCAAGTTTTTTCACTGACTAATTGTTCTGTCAGGAAATTCCTCCTTAGATTAGATCTCTCTCTAACGAGCATCCTGAAGCACCAGGAAACTACCAAAGAGAAAAAAAAATGGAAAGAGGGATACATAACTAAGGCAGAACACCAACATATAGTCTGAATCTGCAAAGATGGTCAGGAAAGCTAAGAATCAGAATGAACATTTACAAGAAATGTCAGAATTTTTTTTAAAAAAGTTTCAACATATTAAAAAAAAAAAACCAATGAAAAAGTCAAGGAAAAAAATCAGTCCACTAATGGGAGAAGATGACAAGAAGGTGACAGGCAGCAAGGAGAAAGCAGAACTGCTAAATTCATTCTTGGCATATGTCTTCACAGAAAAGAAAAAAAAATAGCCCAACCTACCAAAAGCAGAACCCTAAAAGACAGACTAGGAATACAGGTTAAAATAGACAAGAAATGGTAAAACAACACCTATTCACCCTATTCAAATCACCAGGACCAGATGGATTACATCCCAGAGTTCTGAAGGAGCTGACAGACAAGATCTCAGACCCATTGAATTATATCTTTCAAAGATCCTGGAACACTGGGGAACTACCAAAAGAACTGATGTGGTTCCATCTTAAAAAAAAAAAAAAAAAAAAAAGAGGGGGGGGGGGGGGAAAAGGATCCAGGAAACTGCAGATCAATCAGCTTGACAACAATTCCTGAAAAGACCCGGGGGGGGGGGGAACCAAGCAGCAGATTTGTGAACCATGAACAAGGTGATTAATAGAAGCCAGCATCAGTTTATTAAAAACAGATTGTGCTAAAAAAAAACCTGATTGCCTTTTTTAATAAAGTGACTAAATTAGTGAATCAAGGAAATGTTGTATATATACTTGGACTTTGGTAAGCTATTTGATAAAGTAGAATACAGCCTACTTTTTGGAAAGATAGAACAATATGGGACAGACATTATCACCACCACATGGATTCACAACCAACTACCAATCACACTCAGCAGGTAGTCCTCAATGGAACAACGTCTACATGGAGGGAAGCATGCAGTGCAATATCTCAAGGTTCTGTCTTAGGCCCAGTGCTCTTCAGTATCGTCATAAATTATCTCTCAAATTTTATATCCACATAGGATATCACATAGTTACTGCTGAAAATTAACTTGTGATAATATGTCAGCGCTCAAATGACTCTCTGGCATGCCACTGCAATCTTGTTAGCCTGTCTTCCACTTTAACACAAACAAATTCTAAGTCTGATTTTGAAATCTGCTACAGTTTTGTTCAAATACAGCTGCATTTTAAATAAATACCAGGGTATGTCTGGGGAAAGTCTCTTTTTTCATTTATGATTTAATTTGTACTTGCATCTAGACTGTTCTGTTTTAATCTCTGTATGCATCAATAAAGTTCAAGAAGGAACAGAAAGGCTGAGAAAATATAATGAATTGTATATGTGCAGCAATCTGAAGAACCAACTGAATAACAGAGTAACAGAATAATAGTTAGAAGAGACCTTGGAAGTCATCTAATCCAATCCCCAGCATGAACAGGAGACTCATTTCAAACAAATGGTTGTCCAGTCTCTTCTTGAAAGCCTCCAGTGATGGATCACCCACAACTTCTGAAGGCAAGCCATTCCACTGGTTGATTATTCTCACCATTAGGAAATTTCTCCTTAGTTCTAGATTGCTTCTCTCCCTGATTAGTTTCCACCCATTGGTTCTTGTCCTGCCTTCTGATGCTTTGGAAAATAGTTTGCCCCCCTCATCTTTGTAGCAGCCTCTCAAATATTGGAATGCTGCTATCATGTCTCCCATAGCCCTTTCCTTCTTTTCACTAGACTATACATACCCAATTCCTGCAACAGTTCTTCATATGTTTTAGCCTCCAGCCCCCTAATCATCTTTGTTGCTCTTCTCTGTACTCTTTCCAGAATATCAACATCTGTTTTATATTGTGGTGACCAAAAATGGATGCAGTATTTCAAGTGTGGCTGCACTAAGGCTTTGTAAAGCAGTACTATTACTTCACCTGATCTCAATTTTATCCTTCTATTAAGTCCAGGGAAAAACCTTGGAAAATTGCCTCCTTAGTTTGTAAGACATTAAGCATAATGAATGGGGTAATATAAATCTCCAAATGTATAGATATTGTTTGTAGTGTGTTATTTCTCATAATGTTTTATTATCAAAGCTCCCACTGGTACTGAATCTTAGCAGCTTTGGGATAGTCAATATATTTTCTGGCTGCTTCCCTGTCTTTTGGCAACTGTAAACCTCATACATCTTCCTGTTCTAGCTGAAGTGCTGTGGATTCAACAATTATGCAGATTTCAACAGTTCCTACTTCTATCAAGCTCATGAGAAATATCCTTCTCTTTGCTGTCTATCCAGCAAGGAATGCCAGCAATTTGAAATAGACCATAATAAGCAGGTAACTTTGTTTCCTAAAGATCACAAAAGGCTGGTTGCTTTTCAGGTTTGTGACAAGGATTACTTTTAAGAAAACCAAAAGCAGCCCATCTAACTTTTGTTAGAGGAAGTGACACCCCACCCAGTCTGTAGGTAAAATCTAGTTAATTGAGGGGCCACCAACCTTTTCATCCCCAAACCATTCTAATCCCAATTCAAAGCCTATATGATATTGTTCAAAGCAGCTCTGATAATTTTCAATTCCTGCTAGGATTCAAGACACTACAAAAAGATGATGTTTTTGTAGGCAGGGAACTGGTTAATTTGGCCCAATAGCCAAGCACACAGAACTGCCATCTAGTCAGTGTTCAGCTGTTGGCCTGTTATTGACTGCATTGCTCTCTGCACTGTTGGCTTCACCCCAAAACATCCCTCCCCTCTCTTTAAAGATATCAAAGAAAAAGAAATAAATTACATCAGTCCCCTTCAAATGGCTAGAATCCATTTGCTTAATGCATTGTAAGCCGCCCTGAGTCTCCGGAGAAGGGCGGCATATAAATCAAATTTAAAAAAAAAAAAGGACCCTGTAAGTCAGTCAAACCAGAATACCACCATGGCAAAGAAACATTTGGGTGGATTGACAAATTGGAGCTCTTCACCATCAGAAAAGCAAGCTGTTTAAACTATGGCATTTTCTGCCTTATTAAAGCTGTTCCTGAATTTCAGGAAACATGTGAACCAAGGATTGCTTTAGTAAACCATCATCTAATCAGTGGGAGGAAATTATTGCAGTCCCTATTGGATCCACATCTCTGCTTAGAAGTCCCTTAAATAACAAATGAAAATAGTTGCTTTCCTTGGTCAGTGCATGAGGACTGAAATAATATATTAAATAGCTGATAGCAACATTTGTATCTGAAAGCAACATGATTTTGTATAAAAACTGGCATCATACATGTGTTACAATTGGTGGGAGTAGATGCAAAAATGTTGCCAAATGCTTCAGAACAGAATGGTTAAAATTCACCCTGATATCTACCCCACAGCCTGCTTTCTTTGCAGACATGCATTTCAAAGATTTATATGATTCAATATTGGCCAGTTGAAGAATCAGTTGCAGGTGGATAGTCATATAAAATGAATGAATGAATGAATGATGTATTTGCAGTAAAATTGGGAGGAGGAAAGTATCCTCCTATGTTGTGTGTACAGTTCTTTTTTCTAACCAAGGAAGGAAGGAAAAGAGGCAAGGAATTTTACTAATCTGTTTACTGTTTGGCAAGGTTAGCATATATTAAACAACCTTTTTTTAAAAAAAATGCAGAAACTTTCTAAAGTCAAGCAAGCTTTTTTATAGCCATTGTCTCAAAGCTTGATGCCTAATGACAAGAAGTAAAAATATTTTTATAGAATGATGCTAATACATATGCTTTTTAAATAAAAGTGTCTGAATTTTTCCACTATGCATCCTACTTTATTAGAGCCCCAAGAAATTCAATAAATTGGCAAAATAATCCAGGACCCTTGTATCAATACTGATACTGAAATCTCTTGATAGAAAAATGATAACAAATTCTCTCCACTACATCACATACCTTTGTCTTTCAGGGCTGCTTGTTTGAATTTGAGATGTTTCTAAAGCACAATGGGAAGATTGTCGGAGCAGTGGCTCTAGCAGTTGGGATGGTTGAGGTAGGCTTACATTGGCTCATTCTCCTGATCTCAAGATTCATGACATTATTTACATAGACCCCAGAATCTGCTTTCCAAAACTAATTTTTGATTAAAATAATTGCAAAAGCCCAGACAGTGTGGATAATGTTTGTTCACTGTTTTGTTTGGTAGAGACTTTAGATATACTGTATCATTCATCTGATTACCTCCTTTGATCAGGTCCAGTTTGGGCATTTTTAACAATCTTTATGAAGAATCTTTATTGTTCATGTCTTTATTGCCAAAATGTTTTACTGCAACAAAAAGACTCTGGTAACCATAATGCCAAAATCTAAATGTCACTGGCAGATTTAAAATTATACTCCATGTGGTTTGTTTATTATTTATTTATTTATTTATTTAATAAATTTATTCCCCCCTGCCATCTCAACCACAAGGTGACTCTGGGCATCTTATGCAACAATATGTATACAATAAGAGTAAAACACTATAAAAATAAGAATTATTAGGTATAAATAAAGCTAAAAGATAGGGGGAGGGAGGGAGGGACGGAGCAGGTGAATCTGTTATTAATCGATTAACCACCTCTAGTGTGATGTTCCCACTTGGGGCCCCAGGCTAACTGGCAGAGCCAAGTTTTCGCAAGATGGGAGCTGACCTCATTTCTTGGGGTCAAGATGTTCCAAAGGGCAGGAGCAACAGGAGGTTTCCTGTCCATTACAGCACAATATCTCCACTTTTATTCTGGTCTTCAAAGATATACCAGTATGCTGATCTGGGTTAATTTGCAGAAGTTGCTCTCTTTACCTCATTTCTATAGTGGAATTGATAAATAGATTCAGAAAAACCATCTCTAAAAGCAAATAAATCTTCCCACCTATTGTATATAAATTTCAGGCAAGATTCTTTCATTCACCTATATCATTTGTAGATGTTGCCTAGATGCTGTCAGACTATACTGTCATAGAAAATGAATCAAACTTTTACTGCATATCTTCCTCCAAAATGTTATCATAATCCTTCTGAAATCTAGAAAAAGAATAAGTGAGTAGCTTCTGCAGGCTTTGAGGACATTTTAAGTCCATTTTACATCAGAGGATGTGTCAGATTAGTAAAGTAGCATGCAAACTATGTCACTCTCATTTCACTTTTTCTTTTGTTTTGTAGCTGGCTGCTATGGTTGTCTCCTTGATCCTCTATTTTCATATTGGTACAAAGGTCTGAAGCAAAATGCCATCCCTTGGCCCGATCAAGCACCAACCAAGTCAGTCTCTGTGCCTGCAGAGAAGAGACAGGACAATTGTCCTTGTTCATAAATGAAAAAAAGCAGTATCTTTCAGTGGCTCTGTATAGCTATAGAGCTACCACATCTTGAACCTCTTTGATAATGTTATTGATCAATCATTAATTTCCCCTTACTACTATAAAAATTATCACATAGTCAGACATGCCAAGAAAATAAATAGGCTTCATCTACTACTATTTGTTCTATGTGGTGGGAAGCCCAGGAAATTTTTAGAAGGAACATTGACTTTGAAAAACAGAACATTAAATATGTTTGAGTGTTATCTGTAAGGATATGTGCACAGGCTTAGCAGACCTGATGAGAATGCACACAGGGAAATAGTACCATTCCTAAAGCAGATTAAGAATGCAGCTGTATAAAGTGTCTGTAATTTCCTGTTTGGAAACTTTGAATGAGGGCCAGGAAGAATTGGTTCCCAGAAGTGACACAGTTAATAGCCCAGTAGTGTTCCATGACAAAGCATGAGTTGTTTTAGTGCTGGCCTCATAGAATGGTTTGAAAATATACTGCATGAGATAGCAACTTAAATGTAGGATAGGCAAATTTGCTGATGCAGGCATTGTGTCATTAATAATAATCTAACTCTCAAAACACTTTTTATTATAATCTAACTGCTTTTGCCATAATTATTTCTCCAATGTTGATGCAACCTTTTACTACTCAGTGATTCTTTATTCTGAAAGACAAAATATACTGTAATTTCAAATTAAAGAAACATGTGCAATACTTTTTATGTCACTAGGTGATTAATCTTTAGGAGTTATTTTGATTTCATTACGTAGCTAAGATTTCACAGTTTGACTTAAGTAACAAAAATATTAGCTAACGCTATATTAGATGAATTAGTGGACAATTTTAATTAATGAAGCCATGAGCAAGGAGGTTTATTTTTTATTTTTTGATATGGCATGATAGGAAATGTAAAAAGGAAAATGAACTTTCCTTATTATTATGGTTTGTTGCAAGTCAGCCAAATATTTAGACTGGATTTGACATTTTTATCCATCTATCAAGTCTTTCCCAAGGACTGGAATAGGCTGAAATTGTTTGATGATGTTGAAGGTATTGTCAAAGGATGTAAGTTGTTCTCCGTAAAGCTGCCTTTTGCAATTTATTATTATTGTTATTACTTATTAGATTTCATATAGCTGCCCACTCCAGTGGACTCTGGGCAACTTATAGAATATAATTTATGATTAAAACAAATAAAAACATAAACAAACTGAAATAGAATAACAAGAAATAAAATCAACAAGTACAACCAAGCACAATTAAACAAGATTAAACAAAATATTGGTTAATTGTTAAGTTTTTCTAACATACCAATGAAATATGGGGGCCTGGTGGCTCAGCAGACTGATAGCATTGTGATTAACACCAGCTGTCTGCAATTACTGTAAGTTCGAATCTCACCAGGCTCAAGGTTGACTCAGCCTTCCATCCTTTCTAAGGTAGGTAAATTGAGGACCCAGTTTGTGGGGGCAATAAGCTGACTTTGTAATAAATATACAAAAGGATGAAGGCTATTGCTTAATGCATTGTAAACTGCCCTGAGTCTCCGGAGAAGGGCGGCATATAAATCAAATTTAAAAAAAAATCTCATCATGGGCCACTTTGTATCAGCCTGTTCAGTCTCTCAACAAGTAATATGAATTTGAAAGTGAAGATCCACAAAGAATACATAGAGAATACTGTAAGTTGAATCAGTGCTCACTCTTTCTGTTTTGCTAATCAAACCCTAAATTATTACCAGTTATTCACAAAATTTATCTCAATTCTATTTGACATAAATAGGGCTAACGCTTTCATCCCATCCACAGTACCTGTATCTTTACAGTAGTTGGCAAAAAAAAAAAATAGTTGCTATAGAAGCTCTGTCAGAGAAGATTGATTATAGAGCAAACCACTGCAATTCTCCAGAAGCTTCCCAGCTACCTACCTCTCTGCATTCAAAATGAGTTATGAAGCTGAAATCTAGGCAGCTTTATAACACAGTGATTTTCCCAATAGCTGCTGCCATAGTTGGATGATATTATGGTGACTGGACTGTGTTAAAATCTGTTCAATTGTTTAACTGTAAGTTTTATGTTAAATTTAATTTTTTAAAAAACTAATCATTACATATTATTTAATTAATAGATAATTTGAATAACTTACAGGCCTGGTTCCTTTAACAGGTCTTTTACATCCTAGCCCAATCAATATTAGAGAAGGAAAGACATGCAGGTCTGAAGGAAGTGGGCAGGGTATTTAGGCAAGGAGCCTGGATAGCTCAGCAGACTAATGCATTGTAATTTAACTCCAGCTGTCTGCAATTAGTAAGTTCGAATCTTGCCAGGCTCAAGGTTGACTCAGCCATCCTTTCTAAAGAGGTAAATTGAGGACCCAGTTTGTGGGGGCAATAAGCTGACTTTGTAAAAATATACAAAAGTATGAAGGCTATTGCTTAACGCATTGTAAGCCGCCCTGAGTCTCCAGAGAAGGGCGGCATATAAATCAATTTTTTAAAAAAATTTAATAATTGATAAAGACCAATGACTTGTGAAGTTATTAAGTATTGCGATCCACCACTAAAACTTTTGCAGCAGTTGCCGAACAAAATTAACCCCAGTTAAAGCTCAATGATTATGCCAGTAATGCTCACATACTGCTGAAGTGTAAAAGAATGGCAGTGCTATAGCAGAGAGATTAGTTGGACAAGACTTGCATTTGTGCACTTGCTGCAGAATTTTTTTCTTTATCCTCCTCCCATTTCCTACCAGAAAGCCTGAGAAGCATGTATATAGCCACATCTACATAAAATAAAAATGGAAAAGAAGTATGGTTCATACCTCATGCTAAGGCACCATATGCTTAACAGGACACTGTTATACAATAGCTGAGTTCACAATCATAGAACCATGATTAGAATCATAAAATCATAGGGCTGGAAGGGATTTTGGAGGTCTTCCAATCCAATATCTGCCCAAGGCAGGAATCCTTATACCATCCTGGACAAACAGATGCCAAATCTTTTCTTGGAAATCCTAGCAATGCTGTACCTACAACTCCTGGAGGCAAGCTGTTCCATTAGTTAATAGTTTTCACTGTCAGAAAGTTTCTCCTTAGGTCCAGATTGGATCTCTCTTTAATGAGCTTTAGCCCATTGCTTTTTGTCCTGCCCTCAGGAGCTTTGGAGAATAAATCAACCCCTTCATTTCTGGAAGTACTGGAAAACAACTATCACGTCATTAGAGTAGTCATAGTTACCTCCTCAATCGTTTATTGTATGCTTTAGCCTCCAGACCCCTTATTATTGGTTTTTTTAAAAAAATATTTTTATTGTTTTATATCATACATTTCCTTTCTATGTTGAGCAGTATGCTCTCTAGGCGTCCAAGGTGTTAACATACAAACGTACAAACATCATCATCATCATTATAATCATATATATCAGCAGGTGAAACTAAGCAGAATTACATCAGATACCTGTGCAATTAGCACAGCCCCCCCCCCAAGGCTGTGTGCTCTCCCCACTTCTCTCTTTATACCAATGACTGCATCTCTAATGATCCATCTGTTAAACTATTGAAGTTCGCAGATGACACAACAGTGATTGGTCTCATTTGAGACAATTATGAATCCGCATACAGACGGGAGGTTGAACAACTAGCCTCGTGGTGTGACCGGAACAATCTGGAACTGAAGACACTCAAAAATGTAGAAATGGTGGTAGACTTTAGGAGAAACCCTTCCATACTTCCACCTCTCACAATACTAAACAATACAGAATCAACAGTAGAGACCTTCAAATTTCTAGGTTCTACCGTATCGCAAGATCTAAAATGGTCAACTAACATCAAAAACGTCATCAAAAAAACACAACAAAGAATGTTCTTTCTGTGCCAACTCAGAAAGCTCAAACTGCCCAAGGAGCTGCTGATACAGTTCTACAGAGGAATTACTGAGTCTGTCATCTGCACCTCTATAACTGTCTGGTTTGGCTCTGCAACTCAACAAGCCAGACACAGACTTCAGAGGATAATTAGAACTGCAGAAAAAACAACTGCTACCAACCTGCCTTCCATTGACGACCTGTATACTGCACGAGTCAAAAAGAGGGCTGTGAAAATATTTACAGATCCCTCAAATCCTGGACATTAACTGTTTCAACTCCTACCCTCAAAACGACACTATAGAGCACTGCACACCAGAACAACTAGACACAAGAACAGTTTTTTCCCGAATGCCATCACTCTGCTAAACAAATAATTCCCTCAACACTGTCAGACTATTTACTAAGTCTGGACTACTATTAATCTTCTCATCATTCCCACCACCTATCTCCTTCCACTTATGACTGTATGACTGTAATTTTGTTTATATTGATATTGTTTCCTGATTGCTTATTTGTACCCTATGACTATCATTATGAACCTTATGATTCTTGATGAACGTATCTTTTTTTTTATGTACACTGAGAGCATATGCACCAAGACAAATTCCTTGTGTGTCCAATCACACTTGGCCAATAAAAAAAAATTCTATTCTGTTCTATTCTGTTCTATTCTATTCTATTCTATTCTATTCTATTCTATTCTATTCTATTATATAAACGGAGAGGGTTAACCTATCCATCTCTGCTCATTCCAGAATTTTTTTTTATTATAATATCATCTGCAGGGGTTTCTGGGTTTTTCCAGCATTGTGCATATGCTATCCTAGCAGCTGTTAGAATGTGTAAAACCAGGTATGTGTTGCCCTTATTGTACTTTCCTGGAAGCATGCCCAACAAAAATGTCTCGGGTTTCAGATCTATGTGTTGTCTTATTATATTATATTTTCCAGCCATGTGTGCATTTTCTTCCAGTATTTTTTTGCTTTAATACATGTCCACTGCATATGGTAGTATGAGCTTGGTGATTGCATTTCCAACATTTAACCGATTTGTTTTTATACATGTTTGCTAATCTTGCAGGTGAGTAATGCCATCTGTAAAACATTTTATAGAGGTTTTCTTTGTATGCTGCAGACATTGTAAGTTTATAATTTCTATTCCATAATTTCTCCCACCTGTCCAAATCTATTGTGTAGTCAAAATTCTTCGCCCAAATTATCATTGTTTCTTTTATTTGTTCTTCTTCCAATTTGCAATTTAATATATATCCTCTTAATTAGCTTTTGATCTGTTCCCATTAAGATCTAGACCAGCTCATTTGGTTCATTATAAAACCCATATTCCTGTCTGTCCTTTTCATACCTGGATTGTATCTGCAACTGTGGCCATCATGATAGGTCAATCCCTAATCTTTTTAGTTCTTGATTTGTTTTTAGTTCTCCCCTTTCATTTAATATGTTCTTATATATAATTTCATCCATATTTATAACATTGGGATATATCCACACCTCCATTATCAATAACCATCCTGGCACTTTCAAATAGTGTTGTTTAATTTTAGTCCATGCTAGCAGTAATGCATTTCTAATGTGATGCCTCTGGAAGTAGCTATGTAGCTGATGGTATGAAAAATAGCCCTTCAGGGTAGAAAAGTAGGAATTCGGAAAAGTGGCGGGTTTAAAAATTAACAAGGAAAAGACCAAAATGATAACGAAAAATATGACAGTAAAACAAGTAGAAGAACTAGCGAATGAATCAGGACTACAGGCAGTAAAAAAGGTGAGTATTTAGGGATAAATCTGACAGGGAGAAGTACAACTATAAAAGACAATAACTATGGAACTTTAGT